TCCAGACATGATTTTGTTTCCTTCTTGTCTTGTATAACTGTGGAACTAAACTATAATTACTCAATTAATGATTTCGGAAATGGTGCAGAATGATGCTTAAGGTGCAATATACTTTTTAAGCTCAGTCATATGCTGCCTCGGAGGGAATACACCCTTGATTGGTGACTAAATAAAATACTAATATTCACTTTTGGAAGTTTTGATATCAGGAAAATGTCCATATGATTTCATTTGGATAACATTTCTAATACTGCAGAGTCATCTAGCTATAGCTTCATCTGGATGAATCTGTCAGCACACGTTATCTTAACAGTCATACCGCACGTTTATCGGTACGCTCGTTTATCGGTACGCACGTTTATCAACACTTTCTAATAATTTCAAAGTCATGTAAAACAAACAAACAAACAAAAGGAAAACGCACCAACTACAACAAAACCCTTCAATTGGAACTAGTTTTCCAAGCCAAATTTATTCATGAAATAACCTTTGGCTCTCTTTCGTTTGTCTTTTATCTTCCTTTCCTTAAAGTACCATTAAATTTAGTTTTTCTTTTTTCTTTCTTTTTTTTTTTTTTGATTCCCCTCCTCGTAAATTCCTTTACTTTTCCTTTTTAGTTCTCAATTCACAATTTTAATTTTAAGACTCCATTAAACGTCTATTGTCTAAATAATTCGCCACTTGAGAAACGATAAGAAATCTGGGTCGAGTTGCGTCTCGCAGTGGCTTGTGGGATCGTTACTGAACTTTACTAGGAACAATGAAGCGTTCCACATTACGTTTGTCTCCAGTAATGGTCCCACAAGCCACTGCGAGATGACACTGGCCCCAGTTTCTTCTTGTTTCTAAAGTGGGCAATGAGAGTATTATCTCACCTGTACAAACTTTTCCATCTCCAGAATAACCAGGACTACAAGAGCAGTTATATGAGCCTACGGTATTAATGCACACTGCACCTGCAGTGCACTTGTACGTTCCCAAAGCACACTCGTCGACATCTAAAACGAAAAAAAAA